TGTCGCTCCGCCGCTTCTGGCCCACCACGTTCCTCAGGAGGGAAAGAAACACACACACACACACACACACACACACACAGACACGATTCATCGTCGGCTCCCCGGAAAACACGGGAAAATGTGGGAGGGGGGGGGGAAGACGACAACCCAGAGAGTATGTGAAAATGTTGGGAACATCCTTGGGACTTGTGTGTTTTTTCATTGGTGTGTCCCTGGGCTTCTTAGCTTCGGCGAGACACGCTACCCACAGGCGCCTGTCCCCAGGCGTCCGCGTCCGGAGCCTCGCCCCGCGGGGCGGAGCGGCACGCGGTCCACTCGTGAGGCACAGCGTGCCGCCGGGGCCGCCGGCGCGAAGCGCTGCGCAGGAGTTCCCGACCCTGGCCTGAGATCGGGCGTGTCCCTCTACAGGAGGATGAGATTCAAAAGCAGTCCAAAAATGGTATGGGGGGGGGATGGTTCGACCATTTGCAAAAAAAACCTGGATTGCAAAAAAACCTTGTTTTTTTGCAATCCTTTGCAATCCGGGGTTTCTTTGCAATCCTTCGTTTTTTTTTTGCAATCCTGGGTTTTTTTGCGATCATTGTCGTTGGATGTTTTCTGGTGTTGTGTAGTTTTCGTCCAAAAGCCGCCTGTCAGGGGACAGGCCCGACCTAAGCATAGCGTGTCGCCGAGGCCGCCGACGCGACACGCCAAGCAGAAGTTCTCGACCCGAGCCCAGCTTGGTGCTTTCCGGGGGCCGTTCTGGGCCATCTCGGAGCCTTCTTTGGCTGTCTTGAGGCCACGTTGGAGGATTATTGTAGTGGCCTCCGGCCAGTGCCGCCGATCCTGGGTGCTACCGACTCTGCTTGCAACGGAGGACCTTTTCTGTTTGAGAGTAGAGCACTCGTTCGAGACATCCCCATAAGATAGAGAGGCTGAACTCACTTGGACAACCTTTGGATATTCGAAAGTGACGATCTCGCGTGAACAGCCAAACTCATGGGATGTCCCCTCCCACCTTCTGGGCCTGAATGGCGTCAGCCATGGCGTCAGCCCCCGCCCCCCCCCGACTCCCCCGTCCCGGGCGTGAATGGCATCAGCCATGGCGTCGGCCCTCCCCCCCCCTCTCCTCTCCCGAGCCTGACTGGCGAGCCATGGCGTCAGCCCCCCCCCCGACAGAGTGAAGCTTGAGCGAGCTCCCCCGTCCCTCCCCTCTCCCGGGCCTGAATGGCGTCAGCCATTGCGTCAGCCCTCCCCCCCTCTCCCCGATTCCTCCCTCGCGGGCCTGAATGGCGTCAGCCATGGCGCCACCCCCCCCTCCCCCCTCCCCCCTCCTGGGCCTGAATGGCGTCAGCTATGGCGTCAGCCGCCTCCCCCCTCGACAGAGCGAAGCTTGAGCGAGCTTTCCCCCCCCTCCCCCCTCCCGGATCTAAATGGCGTCAGCCATGTCGTCAGCTCCCCCCCCCCCGACTCCCTCCTCCCGGGCCTGAATATCTGCCCCCCCTCCCCCCTCCTGGGCCTGAATGGCGTCGGCTATGGCGTCAGCCCCCTCCCCCCCCCGACAGTGCGAAGCTTGAGCGAGCTCCCCCCCCACTTCCCTCCTCCCAGGCCTGAATGGCGTCAGCCCCACCCCCCCCCCCTCCGTGGATGAGGGGGCTTGCCGCGTCCACCCCTGATTCGTTTTGGGCCCAAAGGGGTTACAGATCTCGGGGATGGGCCGCCTTGGGGTCACGCCTCACGAATGTGTGCCGCCGGAGAAAACGACCCATTTCAGCCAAAAGGGGTCGTTTTTCGCAGGGTCCCGCGGCATTGCATTTTCGTGTCGACTTGTATGTCCTCACATAGATTTTTCGCCAGTGCTTAGGGGAACGCTTCGACCTGCATCGTGCCAAGGGCTCGGTGCTGCCCAGGAGGTGGTGGCAACGCCACCTCCTGGACCACCTCAGGCATACAGTTTTGGTGCCTCGGGGTTGCTTGAGGCGGAGGTGGCGGCAACGCCACCCCCGCTTGCGGACACGAGCTGTCCGTAAACTTCGGCTCAAGGACCGTTTGCACTGAGTGCAAAAATGGTCCGCACCCGAACCGACGATAGCGAGCGAGAGCGCCTCTTCACTCGCCTCGCTATCTCAGTGAACACATTATTGAGATTACGATTCCGCCTCCCCGTACCACCACATCTGGGGCAACCATTGCCCATCAGGCCTCCAGAGGCCCTCAGGCTCCTCAGGAGACTGGCGAGGAGGCAGGACATCCTGGACGACACATGTTCGGAGGAGAATCCAGCAGTGGTGGAATCGGAGACGGAGATGTCGGACGGTTAGCTTTGCAACGGGTTATGAGCCCAAACGCTACCACAGCCGACTTCCACAACCAGCAGGTCGCGATGCACTTCCGCCAGTGCCGTGCCTGCTTCGACGTTCTCGTCGGACCTTCGGTCGCCTGCGGCCACTGCGGCGCCGAGGTCCACGCGCACTGCATGCAGGTCGTGAGCATGACGCCCGTCTGCTACACCTGCCTGGGCGTTAGGGACATGTTCCTCGCCCAGCGGCGCGCGACGTGGACGGGCCACATGGCCTCGCAGATGGGCCGCGCAGTCGCGAGCGGCAGCCTGCTCGCCGGCCAGGTGGTCGGCGCCACTGCCATCGGCGTCGCCACTGGCGCCACGCGGCTGATCAGCGGAGCCGTGGCTGGAGCGCGCCAGACCTTGAGCGGCGCGTCCATGATCGGCGGGCCCGCTCGCTTGGACACGCCCCAGGCGCTGCCGCAGCTTGCCGCCGGCCCGCCCAGCATCAGCCAGGCCGCCGGCGATGGCGACAGGGTCGCGGCTCTCGAGGCGGAGATCGTGCGGCTCAGGGCCGAGCTCGAGTCGCGCGCCGGCGGGTACGCCACGCCAGGCGGAGGCAGCGGCGCTGGGCTGCTCGCGCCGGCGACGCCTCAGCCACAGGGGCCTGCAGGCGACGATGCCGAGGAGGAGGACGAGGAGGAGGAAGCAGGGTTCCAGGCCGCTGCTGAGACTCCAGCTGCCGCCGGCACGGACGCCGTAGCCGCCGCAGCCTTGGCGCCGAATGCCGGCGCTATGCAGGATTTCGCGGGCGCCGATGGCGGCGGCCCGCATTCGATGGCGGGCGGCGCGGCCACTGGGTCCGCGGCCGCAGCCACCCTGATGCAGCAAGGATTGTTTGGCATCGCCACGGCGGGTGCCAGCAGCCTGCAACCGCCGATGCCGAGCACGTTCGGCGCGGCACCGCTGGCGAGCGGCGCGGCCACGGCTGCGGGCGCATCCAGCACCGGGTTTGGCGCCGCTTTCGCGGGCGACCAGCCACCTCCAGGACTGGGCGCGGGCTGGCCATGGGCTGGCAGTGGCGCTGCCGGCGCTGGAGGATCAGGGAGCGGCGGGGTGCCACCGCCTCCGTCGCCATGGCATTTGCCACAGGCGGCCGCCGCCGTAGCAGCCGCCCAGCAGATGGGCGCACTCGGCGGCAGGGCGAGCGGGCCGCCGCCGCCGCCGCCGCCGCCATCCGGAGGCGCCGGTGCGAGCTCAGCGCCCGGCGACGGCGCTGCGGGAGCGGACGCGGGCCTCGCGTCGGTTCTGAGCAGAGTGAAGGGCGAGGACGTGCCGAAGCTTGTTTGGAGCAAGGGTACGTCCAAGGCCAGCGTCTACGAGGAGTGGATGCAGAAGAGCACGCTGAAGATCACGGGTCTGCACTCGACTATCGAGTTGTGGTGGGGGTCGCTTCGGGCGAGCGTGGAGGCGGCGTACGAGGAGTACATCTCCCTGGACCCGCTCCGTCGCCCATTGATCCGTCCTCAGAGCAGCTGGGCGGAGGCGCCTGGCATGCGCGCGGTGGAGATGAAGTTCCGCCCGCTGCTGTTGGAGGCCATGCCGGAGACGATCCAGTCCCAGGCACTGGCGACGCGCCAGCTGGCGCGCAGCGAGATCGTCTTCGCTGCCGCCGTCGAGGCGGGGCCGGGGACGCTGAGGGACCGCGAAGCGACCCTCAAGGCCGTCGAACGCCGTGGCCTGCCAGGCGCTCCCCCCGTCGCCGAGTGCTACGCGGCGCTCCAGAGGTGGAAGTTCGAGTTGACTCGGCTTCAGAGGTTGGGCGCCACGGCCCCCGACCCCACCATGCAGCTCTCCACGCTCAGGAGGCTGGTTGGGAAGATGTGCGAGCACGATCGCAGCTTCGAGCACTGGCTCTTCAGCTACGAGATGTCGCGCGGCATTTCCGGTGCCAGCTCGTGCAGCCAGGCTGCAGTCGACGAGTACTGGCGCTACCTGGCGGCCGAGGCGCGAGAGCTGAGCGGGGAGGATTCGGCTGCTAAGGCGCCGAACGTGGCAGCCAAAGTGGCGGCCCTCGAACAGCAGATCCGTCAGCAGACGCAGCACCAGCAGCAGACCAACGCCAGGTCCGACCCCAAAGCCAAGGCCAAGGCCAAGGTGAAGGCCAAGGCGAAGCCGGAGGCTAAGGGGAAGGGCAAGAGCGGCGAGCCTGGGCAGAGGCCCTGCCGATTCTTCGAGTCCGATGGCGGCTGCCGCAATGGCGCCCAGTGTACCAGCCTCCACCGGAGGCCAGAGAAGTCAGAGGGAAAGTGCTTCAACTGCGGTGCCATCGATCACAAGATCGACAGCTGCCCGCGGCCGCGCGCTGACCCCGCCGCCCGCGTCGCCAACGCAGGCGCGGCGGGAGATGCAGCCGCGGCCGCCGCCGGAGCTTCTGGACCTCCTGCCGCCGGCGGTGGACAGCCATCTGGGCCGCCTCCCGCGCTGCCCAAGACCGCCGAGGCTTTTGCGGCGGCTCTTCAGCAGGCCGAGGCTCGAGGCCGTTCCGAGGGAGGTCAGTTGATGCTCAACTCGCTTGCTGCCCAGGGCAGCGGCGCGGGCGCGAGCGCCAGGCTCGCAGGCGGCGCCGATGGCGAGGCCTTCTGGACTTCGCCAGCGGGGCCCCCGCCACCGCATGCGAAGATGGCGTTGCCGGCGGGCGACTTCGCAGCGCTGGAGCGAGCAGCGGCTGCTGCAGCGGCGCCGGCAAGCGCATCGACGCTGAAACGCGACCAACTCGGTCGCCCGCTGCTTCTGGCGGACACGGGAGCCAGCCACGAGTTGGTGTCCTACGGCCACGTGGCGGGTGAACCAGCGTCACCACCAGTCGCAACTACGAGCGTGGAGCTCCAGATTGCGACTGGCGGCCGGGAGGCGCAGCTCGGCGTGGATGAGAAGCTATACGTCTACTCGCCCACGGAGCTGCAGCCACTCTTCCCGCTCGCGGCGGTGAACGAGGAGCTCGGCCTGCAGATGAATTGGAGCCCGTCGATTTGCGAGGTGCGGCTGCCGGATGGCAGGACGATCGACTTCATCAGGGACGGCGGGTCCATCTATTTGGACGAGGACAGCGCCGACGTGCTGAGGCAGCTGAGGACCGCCATGCGCGAGCGTCGGGCTCGCGCTGCGCTGGCCCGGGCAATTGCAGCCGCGGTCAGCCTGCACGATCTGGAGCGTCATCGTGCCGAGGGCCACCCACGGTTCATGGCGGAGCGCGGCGAGTGCCGACGAGCCGCAGGCCGGACGCGCCCGCACCTGAGGCTTGACCAGACGACGCGCCCGGGCGGGCAGCTGAGCGTGGATCTGTCGGGCCCGCACCCGCCAGGGCGGTGGCCGAGCAGCTGGCAGGAGGATCAGCCGCGCCGCGCCGTGTACTGCATGGTGGCGGCTTTCGCTGTGTTCACCCGCAGCGACGCGGCAACCGCGGAGGAGAACGAGACCTTCGCGCGCGCCGCCGCGGAGCTCCAGGATCCAAGCGCTTCAGAGCTCGCCGACCTGGAAGCATCGCTACACCCGGAGGCTGCGGCTTCCGACGCGGCCAGCACGGTCGCGCAGCGCGCCGCCATGAACGCCCGCCTCCTCATCGCGGTCGCCCGGGCGCGATCGCAGGAGGAGGCAAGGGAGGATGAGCAGTGCAAGGACGTGCAATTGCCAGCGGAGCCGAGGACATGGTACTACGCCCGGCCGCTGGCAACGAAGACAGCGAGCGAGACGTTGGCGGCCATGGAGTCCATCAACGTCGAGGTCTGCGCGGAGCTTGGCTGCAAGGCGGTCTACCGCATCCATGCGGACCGAGCGGGTGAGCTGGCGGGGCCAGTCATCAAGCGCGAGATGGCCGCGCGCCACGACATCGCGACCACCAGCACGGCCGGCGCGGAGCCGAACTCGAACGGCCGAGCTGAGCGAGCCGTTGGCCTGGTCAAGGGCAAGGCTCGCGCGATGTTGCTGGCGCCCGTCTTCACGGCGGCCGACCGCCAGGCCCTATGGCCAGCCGCGGTCTGCCACGCAGCGTGGTGTCAGAGACGCGCCGCGCAGGGACGCTCGTTCGCGGGTATCCCTCCCTTCGGAGCCGCGGTGCACGCGCGCCTGAAGGATCAGCAGGGGTCCTTCGAGCCCCGCGCGGTGCCGAGAGTGTACCTCGGCGCGGTGCCTGACGTTACGCACGGCGCGCTGCTGGGGCACAAGAAGGGCGGCGAGTGGCACTTCGAGGTCAGCTCGTCGTTCGTGGTGGACCGGGCAGCCGCCGACAGCAGCCCGGCAGGGCCGCCGGGCGCCGCCGCCGCGTCTGACCGTGTCGCGCTGCCCGCGCTGCCGCCTGGGCTCCCGCCAGGCCTCGGAGGAGGCGACGCCGTCGTCGCAGGCGACGGCCACGTCGCGCCGGCAGCTGCGGCGCCTCAGGGGGATCAGGAGGAGGAGGAGCAGCAGCAGCAGCAGGATCCTCTCAGATTCGAGGTCCCTCCCGAGGTGCGCTGCCCCGCGTGCCTGGGGTGCAAGCGAGCCCACACCCGAGACAGATACTGTCTCAAGGGGGAGCGGGTGCGGCTCCCTGAGGACGACGTGTTCGAGGGAGGGCCGCACGAGGCAGCTGCATGGTCATGCCCTGCGTGCCGCGGCCGGCATCGGCGGCATACATACGACGAGCGGTGCCGCCTTGGCACAGGAGCCGGCGGGGCAGCAGCAGCGGAGGCTGGACCTACGGCAGCGGCCGCCGCCCTCGTGCTGCCCTCGGACCCTGTGGCGATCGAGTCTGCTGCAGACCACGTCGAGGGTCGCTCCGACGACGTGCACGATGAGCGTGGGGACGACCACGACGACGACGACACCGAGCTCCCGGCCTTCCAGGAGATCGATAAGGAGTCCGGTATGCAGCCGGTGTCGACCGCCGAGATTCGCGCGAGTTTCGGAGCCGAGAGGGAGGGCTGGCGACTTGCCCTCGACAGCGAGTTGTCCAGCCTGCGCTCCAAGGGGGCGTTCGAGGTGTTGACCGAGGCGGAATCGGCCATGGTCCCCAAGGGCAAGATTATCCCCATGAAGGTCGCTGCTGGTACGAAGCCACCCCTGGCCGCAGAGCTGGAGCGCCGTAAGAAGGCGGGGAGGACGTGTACAGCGGAAACATTGACGCTTCGAGCCTCCGCCTGGTGCTCGCGGTCGCAGCGGCCCAGAGGTGGAGCTGCGCCGCGCTGGACGTCGCCACCGCCTTCCTGAACGCGCCTCTGCCGGAGGAGGTGGGGGACATAGTGGTTCGACCTCCTTCAATCTTCAACCATTTTGGTTTGATCCAGCCGGGTGAGCTTTGGCGCGTGCGGCAGGCGATTTACGGCCTCCGCATTGCGCCGAAGGCATGGGGCGACAAGAGAGACCGCCAGATGAGGGCCATGAACATCAAGTACTTGGGCGAAACGTGCACGCTGAGGCAGTCGCACGTCGACCCTTGCCTGTGGTCCGTCGTCGCCGTGTCGGGCAAGGTAGCGGGGTACGTGTGCGTGTACGTCGACGACTTCGCCCTCTTCGGCTTGGACGCGGTGGTGTCCGAGCTCGGGCGCCTGATGTCGGAGACGTGGAAGTGCAGTGTGCAATCGCTGATTTCGTTCAGCGCTCCAGGGACCATCAAGTACCTCTCCCTGTCCATTGAGGCTCGGCCCGACGGGCACTACGTGCACCAGTACGAGCACACCAACGATCTGCTTGAGAAGTGGGGCCTGGACCGCGGCAACTCCGCCGGCACGATCGCCATCGAGCCGCTCCCGGCCGGCGATCCCGAGCTGCAGGGCCAGGAGGAGCCGGAGATCGCGGATATTAGGCTGGCGCAGAAAATGTCAGGTGGGTTGCTTTGGCTCTCGGGCCGGACCCGGCCAGACATTGCGCATGCTGTTTCACGCGTCGCGTCCGCTGCAGCTGCTCATCCCCATTGGGCCCTTCGCCTAGGAAAGCGGATCCTTAGGTATCTCGCTGGCACGCGCCATTACGGTTTGAGTTTTAGGCCTGGGGGGAGGGCGTCTTTGGAGGTGTTCGCCGACGCGTCATTCGAACCAGAATGTGCGCAAACAGGCATTGCCGCTTATTTTCACGATTGCCTCATTGACTGGCGCTCCTCGAAGCAGCCGCAGCCCCCGCGCAGCACCGCCGAAGCGGAAGTGACCGCTCTGGCGATGGGCGGCCTGGTGCTGGAGGGCACCGAAGCCGTCTTGAACTCTATGTTCGCGCAGCCTGAGGTCACCAAGATGTGGGGTGACAACTCGGCTAGCCTGTGCATTTTCCAAGGGCACGGGTCATGGCGGACCCGCTGCCTAGCCAATCGTGCCGCGGCCATTCGTGCCAGGGTCGAGGCAAAGTTACTCGACCTTGGGCACGTGCCCTCAGAGGAGCAGCGCGCCGATGGATTGACGAAGACTTTCAGCGTCCCCGGAATGACCAAAATCCGGGCGCATTTTGGACTCAAGGATTTGCGACAGCCGCACGGGCAGCTCGCCCGAGCGAGCCGCCTGGCCCATTCAGTATCGCCGTTTCTGTCGCTATGATTGCGAATTTGTGATCATTTTCGGCGCCGCCGCGCCAGTAGAGTTTTGAACCTCAAGGTGCCGGGATGCACCGGTGTCGATGGACACGCTGGCGCGCGAGTGCTTGGTCAGGCATGTTTGTTTGTACATATGTTGATTTCAGCGCAGTTGTGGTCGGACTGGCCTCCCCCTCCTCCCGGGTCGCGGACCCGAGGCAGCCTTGCAGGCGATTGCGACTAGCAGCGTCGACGCCTGCAGGATGAGGAGGAGCGTGGATGAGGGGGCTTGCCGCGTCCACCCCTGATTCGTTTTGGGCCCAAAGGGGTTACAGATCTCGGGGATGGGCCGCCTTGGGGTCACGCCTCACGAATGTGTGCCGCCGGAGAAAACGACCCATTTCAGCCAAAAGGGGTCGTTTTTCGCAGGGTCCCGCGGCATTGCATTTTCGTGTCGACTTGTATGTCCTCACATAGATTTTTCGCCAGTGCTTAGGGGAACGCTTCGACCTGCATCGTGCCAAGGGCTCGGTGCTGCCCAGGAGGTGGTGGCAACGCCACCTCCTGGACCACCTCAGGCATACAGTTTTGGTGCCTCGGGGTTGCTTGAGGCGGAGGTGGCGGCAACGCCACCCCCGCTTGCGGACACGAGCTGTCCGTAAACTTCGGCTCAAGGACCGTTTGCACTGAGTGTAAAAATGGTCCGCACCCGAACCGACGATAGCGAGCGAGAGCGCCTCTTCACTCGCCTCGCTATCTCAGTGAACACATTATTGAGATTACGATTCCGCCTCCCCGTACCACCACATCTGGGGCAACCATTGCCCATCAGGCCTCCAGAGGCCCTCAGGCTCCTCAGGAGACTGGCGAGGAGGCAGGACATCCTGGACGACACATGTTCGGAGGAGAATCCAGCAGTGGTGGAATCGGAGACGGAGATGTCGGACGGTTAGCTTTGCAACGCCCTCCCCCCCCCCCCCCGACATCCTCCCTCCCAGGCCTGAATGGCGTCAGCCCCCTCCCCCCCTCCTCCCTCCAGGAGCGTCAGCCCCCCTCCCCCCCCCCCGACAGAGCGAAGCCCCCCCCCCTCCTCCTTCCCGAGCCTGAATGGCGTCAGCCACCCCACTCCTCTCCTCCCTCCCTTGCCTGAATGGCGAGCCCCCCTCCCCCCCCTCCCCGACAAAGCATAGCCCTCCCTCCCCTCCTCTCTCCCGGGCCTGAATGGCGTCAGCTCCCCCCCCCATCCTCCCTCCCAGGCTTCAATGGCGTCGGCCCCCTCCCCACCTCCCTCCCAGGCCTGACTGGCGTCAGCACTCCCGCCGCGCACCCCTCCTCCCTCCCGGGCTTGAATGCCGTCAGCCTCCCCCCCCCCCCGACACAAAGCGAAGCCCCCCCCCCTCCTCCCTCCCGCCTGAATGGCGTCAGCCCCTCCCCCCCTCCCCTCCTCTCCTCCTCCCGGGCCTTAACGGGGTCAGCCCCCCCCCGCCCCCCCTCCTTCCTCCCCGTGCTTGAATGGCGTCAGCCACCCCACCCCACCCCCCGACAGAGCGAGCCCCCCCCCCCCCCTCCTCCCTCCCGAGCCTGAAATAGCGTCAGCCCCCCCCCTCCTCTCCTCCCTCCCGTGCCTGAATGGCGAGCCCCCCTCCCCCCCTCCCCGACAAAGCATAGCCCTCCCTCCCCCCTCTCTCCCGGGCCTGAATGGCGTCAGCTCCCCCCCCCATCCTCCCAACCCGCCCCAAAATGGCGTCGCCCCCTCCCCACCTCCCTCCCAGGGGCCTGAAATGGCCGTCATGACACTCCCCCGCCCCCCCCCTCCTCGGCCCTGAATGGCGTCCCAGCCTCCCCCCCCCGACCAGAAGCAAGCCCCCCCCCTCCCTCCTCCCTCCTCGCTGAATGGCGTCAGCCCCCTCCCCCCCCTCCCCTCATCTCCCTCCCTCCCGGGCCTTAAGCGGGGCAGCACCCCCCCCCGCCCCCTCCCTCCTTCCTCCCGGCTTAATTCCTCAGCCACCCCACCCCACCCCCCGACAGAGCGAAGCCCCCCCCCCCTCTGCCGGGATCTGAATGGCGTCAGCTCCCCCCCCCCTCCTCCGTCCTGGGCCTGAATGGCGTCAGCCCCCTCGCCCCCTCCTCCCTCCCAGGCCTGTTCGGAGCCTTATTTGGCTGTCTTGAGGCCACGTTGGGGGATGATTTGGCAGTTTGGGGGGCCTTTTGGGCCGTTTGGGGGCCAGACTGGAGGCCCCCAGGGCCGCCTGGAGCTGAAGGATGTCCGAAAAGATGAAGACACACAAAGTTTGCAAAAAGTGTGTTTAAAAGATATGAGTTCGACATACTCGGGCCCACTGGGGTCCTCTTATGGCCCTCTTGTGCCGTCTTGGGGGCCGCTTAGGCCGTATTGAGGCCATCCCTGGCCGTCTGGGAAACGTCTTAGAGGGATTGTGTGTCATTTTGGTGGCCTTGGTTGCTTGCCTCGGCCGTCTTGCGAGCTCGGCAGCTTGGATCCATCGTTTGTCCCGCCACCCTGTGGTGCTGGATCCTCTTTTGAATCCGCAGAGCCTCGGTTTTCCTCACTCCTCCTCCTCCTCCTCCTCCTCCTCCTCCTCCTCCTCCTCCTCCTCGTCCACCTCGTCTTCCTTCTCCTCCTCCTCCTCCTCCTCCTCCTCCTCCTCCTCCTTCGGGTGTCCATTGCTGCACACTGCTCGCACGCTTCGTGACCTCATAGGGAGTTCCACCGAAGGCCCTTTGGGCAAGGCCTCATGCGGTCCCCCCGCCCATTTCGGCACACCTCTCACACATTTCGTGACCCATAAGAAGCTCCACCGAAGGCGCTTCGAGCAAGGCCTCAGGGGATCCCCCCACCTACGAGTATTTCGGCATGCCCATCACACGTTTCGTGCCTCACAGGTAGTTGCACAATGGGCCCTAGTAGGCAAGGTCACATGCAGTCGCTCCACCTTCAGCCCCAATGAGCAAGGCCACATCAGGTCCCCCTACCCACTTCGGTCGGCCCATCCTCACACGCGTCGTGGATTCATAGGGAGCTCCATAGTCGTCCCCAGGCCCCCCCGCCCACTTCGGCACACACCTCACACGTTTCGTGGCCGCATGGGCAGCCCCACTCTGGGCCCCAGGGGTGGTGACCGTATGCTGTCCCGCCCATTTCGGCTCACCCCTCACACGCTTCGTGGCCCCCCATAGGGAGCTCCACTCGGGCCGCAGGGGCGGTGAGCACATACTTTCCTGCAAGGTCTGGCCCACCCACCCCTCTCACGCGTCATGGCCCCACGGGGAGTTCCACAGAAGGCCGCAGGGGTGGTAACCGCATGATGCCCCGCCCATTGCGCTTCACCCTTCAATTTGTCCATTGGCCCACAGGGAGCTTCATCTGCGATCATGGGCGCAAGCGCATGGCGGCACCGCGCCCATTTTCGGCACACCCCTCACGTGTCGTCGCCCCCGCTACAGGGAGGACCACCTACGATCTCAGTGGGCGCGACCACATGGCGACACCGCGAACTCCGCTACACCTCTCACACGCCTCGTGGCCCCATGGGAAGCTCCACCGAAGGCCCAAGTTGCAAATTCCGCATGATGCCACCGCCTCATGTTGGCACACCCCTCATACGTCCCGTAGCCCCACAGGGAGCCCCACCGAAGACCACGATAGCACAGTTTGCGCGGTACCGCCGCCTCATTTCGGCACATACACACATATATATATATATACGCACACATACGCACACATACGCACACACACACACATATACACACCCATACACGCACGCACGCACGCACGCACGCACGCACGCACGCACACACACACACACACACACAACACAACACAACACAACACAACACAACACAACACAACACAACACAACACAACACAACACAACACAACACACACACACACACACACACACACACCACACGTGCCGCACCCCCCATAGGAAGCTTCGACTAAGGCCTTACTGCCAGGGTCCGTCCGCATGGCACAACCGCCCACCCCTCACACGCTTCGTGGCCCCCATCCGCACTGCCCCAGGTTCCATCCCTCTCCCAGCGCGCTACTTGTGAGGAGTGGGCCATATCTTGCGCTACCCGCAGCTGCGTAGGTTTGGGCTCTTCGCCAGGCAAATGCGCGAGGGGTCCTGGCCCCGTGAGCGTGGACCCATCGTTGTCTACAAGCGTGATCGTTGCTTGTGGAGCGCGGACCCTTCGTTTGTTTAGAGAGTTCGTGGCTCTGCGAGGATGCATTCGACTGGATGTGACCGGGAGGGGGGCTTTTGAATACAGGCGGCCCGGATTAGTAGGTCGACCCTGCCAGATCAAGGTTACCCTTGTGTCTTGTGTCTCGCGACCCATGCTTCGTACATTCCTGTGGCGATGTGGCCCTCGAAAGGGTCTTGTGTCCTCTCGCGTGTCCTCTCCAATCATGCCCGACTGCATGACAGATCCTTACCGAATAGCCCCTGCCATCCCTACCTCGCCTCGACGTGCCAGGGGGCACGAGGGCGGGCAGAGGAGGAGAGGAGAGGGAGGGAGAATTGGAGGCGGGAGGAGGGAGAGTGGCTGAAGGAAGAGGGACAGGGGCGAGGGGCGAGAAGCGCGGTGAGGGGAGCGAGGTGCGGGGAATTGCGCGAGCACGAGGGAGAGGAGCAGGATGAGGAAAATGAGAAGGAGACGGAGGAGCAGCATCGGGAGGCCGCAGTCGAAGGGGGCGAGGGGGAGGAGACCTTTGGGGACTAGCGGAGAGCGTCTTGCCTTGTCCCGTCCCTGCACGTCAGGACATCACAACCGTGGTGAAGCCCGGAGATGAGGTGAAGGTCCGCGTCCTGGCCGTGGACGTGGAGGACGGGCGAGGGAGGAGGGAACGCCGGAGTGATTACGGTCGGAAACTTTGGGATAACGTGTCGTTCCGACGGTTCTGGTCCACCACGCTTCGGCACGACACGCTATCCACTTGCCAGTCTTCAGGCGTCAACGCCCCGAGCCTTCCCGAGCCTCCTGCCCCGCAGAGCGGAGCGACACGCTATCCGCTCGCATAGCATAGCGTGTCGCCGGGACCGCCGCCGCGACACGTACGCAAAAGTCCCCGAAAGAAGCATTCTCGTGGTGGGCACCCGCCTTGGCTCTTCCAGCCTCTCCCCCCGCTGCACTGTCCTCCGCTCCGGCCTCTTCCCTGGCGACCCTGCCTTACAAAACGCGCGGGGATGAGCAGGGTGGGGGTGGGGAAGCTCAAGCTTCGCACGGAGCGTAGGAGGAGGGATTGTGTTGTTCTGTGTGTCCCGTGCTTGCCGCTTCCGCCCCCACGCCGTGCGGGTTGATATCCCCCACCATCTGTTGCTCGCTGCGGGGACGAAGGGAGGAGGGTTTTGGGGGAGTCGGCACCGCAGCCTTGGCTAAAACGCGATACATGCATGCATGCATGCATACATGCAGACGTGCATACATGTGATGCATACATGCATACATACATACATACATGCATACATTCAGACATGCATACATACATACATACATACCTACCTACCTACCTACCTACCTACCTACCTACCTACATACATACATACATACATACATACATACATGCATACATACATACATACATACACATACATACACATACATACATCCATACATCCATACATACATACACATATATATACACACGCACATACACACACGCACATACATACATACATACATACATACATACATACATACATACATACATACATACATACATGCATGCATGCATGCATGCATGCATACATACATACATACATACATGCATGCATAATGTGATACAAGCCATCTGGGGGGCGAGGGCCCAGGCCACGTAACGGGGACCTCGGCAGCACCCGGGGGGGGCCGGGGCCCCCTGGCCTTCTCCAGAGTTTCTGGGTGGATTCTGCGCCTCGGAGATGGGAAACGGCGGCCGTGCACGGCTTCGAGCCGACGCCGAGAGTCCCCCAAGACCACCCAAGAGCCTCAGGACCGCTGAAGAGGCCCCCATCGCCGCCAGCGCCGCCGCCGCCAGCGCCGCCGTCGTGGTCGTCGCCTCTTTCGGCGATCCAGCCTTAAGTCGGGCATGTCCCTCTAAAGAAGGAATACTAGAAAATAGTCGAAATGATACCGGAGAAAAAACCCAATCAGGGCTATAGGGCTATTGAGCTATAGGGCTATAGAGCTATAGGGCTATAGAGTTGTAGGGCTATATGGCTATTGGGCTATTGGGCTGTAGGGCTATAGGGCTTTAGGGCTTAGGGCTATAGGGCTATAGGGCACCCCCGGGCACCCCCGGGCACGCCCCGGCACCCGGACACCCGGGCACCCCCAAGCACCCCTTGGGCACCCGGGCCCTGGGCACCCCCGGGCACCCGGGCGTGCAGCGAAAATCGGCGACAAACCTAACCTAACCATGTGAATCCGCTAGGACCCCTACAGAGGCAAGCTCTGATTGGGGAACATAGTCTGGTCACGATTCTCGACAATTTCGATTTTTTTGAACATGTTTTGATTATTTTCACTTCTTTTCCAAAATGCGCCAGTAGGAGAACATGCCCGCCCTAAGTCCGACCCGTCAGGCAGGCAAGCTTAGCCTGACGATGAAGGAGGTCGGCGCGCCGGCCAACAAGCGCGAGGAGATGCTCCTGCAGTTCAAAGACGCGCGCGGCTCGGGGCGGCCGTGCCCCCCCCCCCCCCCTCTGGACAGGAGGAGGAGGAGGAGGAGGAGGAGGCGGAGGAGGAAGGAGGAGGAGAGAGGAAGGAGGAGGAGGAAGAGAAAGAGGAGAAGGAGGGGGAGGAAAAGGAGGTAAGCACGGAGGAGGGAGGATGATAGGGGAAGGGGGGTGCGGAGGGCGAGAGGGAAGAGGAAGAGGAGGAGGAGGAGGAGGAGGAGGAGGACGAAGAGGAGGAGGAGGAAGAAGAGGAGGAGGAGGAGGAAGAGGAGGAGAGGAGGAGGAGGAGGAGAGAGGAAAGAAGAAGGAGGAGTAGAACCGACCGAGATACAAAAGAAGAGGAGGAGGAGGAGGAGAAGGAGGAGGAGGAGGGGGGGAGGAGGCACCGAAGGTGAGGAGGAGGAGGACAAACAGGAGTAGGGATTGGGAGAGGATAGGGAGGATGGAGGGTCCAGGAGGGATAGAGGAAGAGGAAGGGGGCAGGAAGGAGGGGGAGGAGAAGGAGGAGGAGGAGGAGGAAGCGGAGGGACGGGGGAGTGGGAGTGACAGGAATTGCAGCCATCGTGTGGCGCCGAGGCGCTTATCGCTGACCAATCGGCCCGTTCCCATCGAGACGCGTTTAGTCAGCATTCGAGTAACTGATCGTGAGCAAACCTGTCAAGATACGACGAGTCCTGGAAACGGGCAACTGGCATGGCCAACCCGATCCCCTGAGCTGGGACTGGCCGAAGAAACCACATGCGCTACAGAAGGGTAGAAGGGTGCCGACTTTGGGGAAGCGTGCGGGAAGGACAATAGGCGGCAGGGAAGGGGTTCGAGGAAAGGCGGGCAGGGTCAGTGGAGAGGCCATCGAAGAAGGCCCCGCCTCTCCAGAGGGCGTGGGGGGAGGGCTTCGAAGGACGCTCCCCTCTGGGAAGTCCCCCTTGCTTTCTCAGATGGCTGCCCCCCTTGCTCTGCCATCTCCTGCTCGCCGCGAGATGGAGGTGTGCTGGCAGGAAGCAGGGAGTAGAGCGGCAGCAGCAGCAGCAGAGGGGGAGCAGAACGGGAAGAGGAGGAGGAGCAGGAGGAGGAGGAGAAGAAACGAGGAGTGGAGGAGGCGGGGGAGAGGGGAGCAGGAGGAGGAGGAGGAGGAGGAGCAGGAGGAGGAGGAGGAGGCAGACGATACAGTAGCAGGGCGGGGCAGCCAGGGGGAGGGGAGCAGGCCAGGAGGTCTTGCGACATCTGCCCCCCCCCCCCCCCCCCCCCCGGCCCGCCTCTGCCTCCGCCTCCGTCTCCGCCCCTGCCCCCCCTCTGCCTCTGTCTCCCCTCCTCCTCCTCCTCCTCCTCTCCTCCTCCTCCTCATCATCATCTTCCTCTCCTCCTCCTCCTCCTCCTCCTCCTCCTCCTCCTCCTCCTCCCCCTCCTCCCCCCCCTTCCCCGCCCTCTCCGCGGAGAAATCCCAGGTCAGCGCCGACACGTGGCTGCCGGGCAAGGCCCGGCTGGGGGCCCGAAAGCGAGAGCAGTGTTGTCGGTGCACGGCGGTCCGCCGGCGTCAGCGCTTCTCGTCTGCACCCCCGTCCTCCCCCTCATCATTTTCTTGGTTCCCCTCCTCATTCCTCATCCCTCATCCGCCTCCTCCGTCTTCCGCTTCTCCATCCCCCACGGCTTCATCTCCCCTCCGCCTCCTCTATCTCCCCCCCCGGCCCCCTACACGCCTGTCGTCACTCGTTCCTCCTCCATTCTCCCTCCTCGTCCTCTTTCTCATCGGTCATGTTGCTGCCTCTCCTCATCATCCCTCCTCTCCGCAGGGCGGCAATGTTTCGAATGTTGTTGTGTAATGTGTGTTGCCTGTGTTTCTCTGTTTCTGTCTCTCTCTCTCTCTCTCTCTCTCTCTATTTCTCTCTCCCTCTCTGTCTCGCTTTCTCCCTCTCTCTCTCTCTCTTTCTCCTCCCCCCGTTCCTCAGTCCTTGACCGCCCCGCCCGCATGGCTTCGAGGGCTGCACGGCGCACGTTCCCGGGAGGCTGTTGCTCATCCTGCCCTTTTCGGCGGCGGTTGCGACGTGGACGACCGATAAAGATGCTGCCCTTCCACCTTTCTCCTCCACTTGCTCCTCCTCCTCCTCCTCCTTTTCCTCCTCCTCCTCCTCGACCTGCCTCCTCCTCCTCCTCCTCCTCCTCCTTCTCCTCCTCCTCCTCCTCCTCCTCCTCCTCCTCCTCCTGCTCCTCCTCCTCCTCCTCCTCCTCCTCCTCCTCCTCCTCCTCCTCCTCCTCCTCCTTATCATCCCCTTCCTCATCCTTCCTTCCTTTTTCCTTCACCCCGCCCGCCCCATACGGCCGGGGTTCGTGCCATGTCGACGCGGTGGCGGCGCCAACGCCGACGCTCAAGGTCAAAGGCCGTTGGCGGCCGGAGCTCGGCCAGTGCTGACCGTCGCCGGCCGTCAGCAAGCCACGCTCGCCAACAGCCTGAAGGATCTGCGCGGTGTCCGCATCGAACGCGCACGGCACGGCACGCGCGCACGGGCACGGCATGCGGGCACGGCGCGGCCCGGCGCGCGGGCAGCGCAGCTACTCCTCTCTCGCAACCCAGCTCGCAGGCACGGAGCCGCACGCGAGCAGTGGACGGCGCGGCGGGGGGGCGGCACGCGCGTCGCACTCTGGAAGGCGGGCACGGCACGGGCACGCGGGCGGCAGGCCTCTGGCATCCCCGAGCGCGGGCGCCGCAGGCGGGCACGGCACGGCAGGGGTACGCGGGCGGCACCTGCGTCGCACTGTGCGTACGCATATAGGGCGCAGCCGCGGCGCGCGGGCACGGCTCGGCACGCGGGCGGTGCCCTTCGTGGTTGCCTCCTGGAAGCCAGGCGCGGCACCCCGCGCGGACACGGCACGGCACGGCACGTGGGCGGCGCAGTCGTGTTCTGCAGGTCGGGAGGGCGGACGCGGCACGCCGCGCGGGCGTGGCACGGCGCGCGGGACGCGGGCGGCGTGCGTTCTCGCACTCCTTGGAGGCCGAGCGCGGCACCTCACGTGGACACGGCGCGGCACGCGGGCGGCACACCTTCCGCCTGGGAGGGCGCAGCCACGCCGCGCAGGCACGGCACGACACGTGGGCAGCGTATTCCTTCGGAGTCCTAGAGCGCAGACACGGCACGAGAGGCGGGGTTTGCACGAGGGCGGCATGCTAAAGCGCAGGCCGGCACGCGTGCACGGCACGGCACGTAAGCGGCATCTCCCCGCATTCTGAGAAACAGACACGGCACTCCTGCACAGCACGACACGGCGTGTTGGCGGCAATTGTTCGGTTGTGTGAACGGAGGAGCATTTTTGTTACAACATCCACGGTGTACAGAACAGTTCGGATCCGTCACGGCATTCGTTTTTTAGGGAAGTCGAGCGCCTATGCGCAAATATCATGGTCTCCTCACCCACATACAAGCGGGGCTTCATGAGACAGAAATTGCAAGCCCCAGACACGCCCATCGTGTTCATTTGCCCAAACACTGTTCGCATTTCGAGGTTCTGACCTCCCCCTGCCTAAGTCAGCTGATTGGTCCGACGAGGGTTCGCTTGGTGGGCGCCTCGTCCGCGAACCGACTCAGACCTGCGCTTTTCCCCCTCGTCGTCGTCGTCGTCCTCGTCGTCCTCGTCGTCGTCGAAATCGTACTCGTCGTCCTCGTCCTCGTCGTCGTCGAAATCGAAATCGTACTCGTCGTCGGCTTCGTCGTCGTCGTGGACCCCGCTCAGCTGTGCTCAGGCAGGGCGACGCAGGCAGGTCCTCGGCACCGCTCGCGCCCGGGACCGCCCGTCCGTGTGGCTTCGCAGAGGGCTCACAGTGGCGTGGCCCACTCTCGCCCGGGCTCACCAAACGACGTTTCCGAGCGCCCAGCCTCTCCTCTCCTACCCTGTCCTCCTCCTTCCCTCCCTTCTCCCCCCTCGTACTCCCCTTGCCCTCTGCCCGCCTCGTCCTCGTGTCGCCCGCGCGCCCCCCGAGAGGTCAAGTCCTTCTCGGACTTTGGCGCCTTTGTCGAGGCGACCGGGAGGGGGAGGGGGTGGGCGCCCGGGCGCTGTGCTCAGAGAGGGCGCGGCCCGCCCTGGATGGCCAGACTCTGTCCTCCGCTGCTCCTCCGCCTCGTCCTCCCTCGTCTCCTCGTCCTCCGCCTGCTCCTGCCGCGAGGCGGGGTGCGGTCGGTGACGGCGGGCGCGAGGTGCAGCCAGGTGAAGGCGAAGCAGAAGTGGCGCACTGGCAGCGCGAAACGGAACGAGAGCGTCGGCACAGCACGGCGTTCGAAAACAAACGGCGTTTGGCGCCGTTGGAAGAGAGGCCGGTGATGTCGGAAGCGCAGGAACAAATCACAACGCAGCCAGGGTAATAATCTGCCGAACATACGAGGCAGAGCGCGACGCGGCCACGCGCGAGGCAAACAATCGCAAACGAAAAACAGAAGCGGAAACGTAGCCGCTGGCATGCTGCGCTCCAGGTTGCGGAACGTTTTTTTAGACACGATGCACTCGAAGCCGGAGTAGGTGGATAATCATCGGAGAAGGAGAAGCGCCTGAGTGGTTTGTGGAGAGTGTGGCACGCGGAGCGTAACCGCGAAGGGAGTAGCCGATGCGGCGAAACGGTTGAAGCTACAGTTGACGGTCGCAGCGTGCGAGAAGGAGTCCCTGCGGCAGGACCACATAAGCGACGGACAGGAGAGTGCGCGGATTGCAGGAAAGCTTTCGGGTTCACGGCACGGAATTGGCAAGCGTACGAGTGTTTCGGCATTTGCAAGAGGAAGTTCCCGAAATTTCAGTTCGTTGTTGGACCGCATTCCGCGCGTTCCCACCAGGTAAGCACCCTGAACTGCAAAACGTGCGCGTGAGACCCGCTGAAGCGTTTTCGGCAGCGCGCGAATGCTCGGGGCGCCAGGGTGGGGACAGGAGGGAGAGGGGGATGTGGGGGGAGGAGGATAAGGAGCAAAAGTTGGAGGAGGAGGAGGAGGAGGAGGAGAGATCAGGATCCGGTCTTGGGGCCTAAATCCAAGCCTCTGGTGACCGTTCGGGACGATTCCTGCACCCCTGGAACATATATTTTCACGCTGGATTTGGAGACCGTGCTTGGGCTCCCGGACCGTGGAATGTTTCATGGCCTTCGGTCCATCCCAGCATGGTTTTGATTCAGAGTCTGAGGGATGCTTCGTGGGATCGTTTTTTCGTTTCTTTTTTTTTTCGGGACAATAGGGCGGGGGCAGTGTCAGAGTCCCGAGGGATGTTTCTTGGGTTTTCCACGGCGGACATTCTCAGTATTCGCCGTGTGCGCATGGGAAAACAGGCGAAAATCAACGCTCAAAGACGGGAGCACCTGTTCAAAACACCCGGAGAATGATTATCGGGTGGCCATCGGCCCATCCCACAACCGTGCCTTGGTTGTGGGTCTGAGGCCACTCGGATGGCTGATGGGGTCTCGTGTAAGGCCTGTCGGGAGAGTTTTGGATGCAGTTTTGGAGCCTTTTGGGTGCCTCCTGGTGGGCTCTTCGGTGCCTTTGGGGACTCTCTTGGGGCTCCCTGGGGGCCCCTTGAGGTTCATTCGGGGGCAAGTGGGGCAATCTGGGGGCGCTCGGGGGCCGAAGCTCGAAATGTCCGTTCGGGTTCCCCCTCTGGGCCCCCCTCGGGGCCGTCTTGGAATTCTCTTGAGCCGAAAGTCCGAGAGGTGAACATGCCATAAATATATATATATATATATATATATATACATACATACATACATACATACATACAGACACACACACACACACATACATACATACATACATACATACATACATACAGACAGACAGACAGACAGACAGACAGACAGACAGACAGACAGACAGACAGACAGACAGACAGACAGACAGACATACAGACATACAGACATACAGACATACAGACATACAGACATACAGACATACATACATACATACATACATACATGTTCCGGGGGGCGGTTGTTGCTTCTTGGGGCCATCTTGGGAGGCCTTTTGGAGGCCTTTTCCGGCCGTCTTGGAGGCATCTTGGGCCGTCTGGGCGCCATCGCGGGCGTCTTGGAACAGTCATTCGGCGGCTTCGGGCCCTCGTGGATCGTGCGGGGGTCCTCTTGGGAGGCCTCAGGGCCTGCCGTGGTGCTCCAAAGGAAGCCCGGGGATGGCCAGACCCCCTCGGTGGGGTGGACCACCCAGGGCCGGGGGTGGTGGTCAAATTCCTGGTTCCTCCTTCCTCCCTCCCTTCTCCCTCCTGCCTCCTCTCCTCCTCCCTCCTCCCTTCTCTCCTCCTCCTCCTCCTCCTCCTCCTCCTGCTCCTCCTCCTCCTCCTCCTCCTCCTCCTCCTCCTCCTCCTCCTCCTCCTCCTCCTCCTCCTCCTCCTCCTCCTCGTCGTCCTCGTCCTGGGGGGGAGATTATCACAGGCTTACGGGCCCACAAGGGGTCGACGGATGTATGTTAGTTTGGGTTGGGTTACACCGCGTTGCGTCACATCGCGGAGGTCGCGTTGCTCACACGCTCAGGGGCCCAGAAGGGGTCGACGGGTGTATGTTTTGACGTACCGCGCGTTGCGTTGCATCGCAGTGCTAGTGTCTGCCATGTTTCGATTGTGGTGTTGACAAACGTACTTCCAGCTCGTCGTCGCCGTGGTCGTCGCGTTCGTCGCCGTCACCGCCGTCATCGCCGTCGTCGTCGTCGGTGTCCCGTTTCATCTTGGTGTTTTTGTTTACCAGATCTAGCATCGTGGAGTCTCTTTCCCATTAGTTGGCAAACGGATAATGTTCATCGTTTGGACGTGGATAATGTTACACATGCTTGTGTTGGTTTCAATGGTGTCCACTTGCGATGCGTTGGCGGCTTTTGCTGTGCATTGCAATCCCTTGGGTTGCGCTGCGTTTCTTTTCAGAGGGTCTTGGAGGAACGGGGGGGGCATCTTCGAAAAACACGGGGAGGGCATCCACACAGAACCCAGCCTCGGGACAAGCCGCAGTCAGAGTTCTCCCACAGCAGGGGCCAGGACCTCCAGAGCGTCGTTGGGGAGACATTTGTTCACCGCGTGTTCGTCGGAATTGTCTTCCTCCTCCTCCTGCTCCTCCTCCGCCTCCTCCTTCTCCTCCTGCTCCTCGTTCTCCAGGTGACGCCGCCTGGTGCCGATGGCACGCCAGTCGACGGCATGGTGCACATCTCCCAGATCGCGGAGCGAGGGGGCAAGGCAGGAGGAGGACGAGGAGGAGAACGAGGAGCGCAAGGCAGGGAGCAAGTCGGCCACGCGCAGAGGGGGCCAGAGGGAGGGGGAAAGTTTAGAAGCACCCCTGCTTGTCAGAGAAGGTGCGGACCAGGTCTATAGATATGTAGGGCCGGCGCCTTCTGAGAAGCAGCTGCATGCCTTCCCCCCTCCCCCTAGACACTTATGCGCGCCGCCAAGCAAGGTAGGAGCAAGGCAGGAGGAGCAGGAGGAGGAGGAGGAGGAGGTCCTCGCCGCACCGCCGTCGGCCCCCTCGTCCTCGTCCTCCTCGCCCTCCTCGCCATCCTCCTCGTCCTCATCCACCTCCTCGTCCTCCTCCTCCTTCTCCGACTTTCGTCAGCCTCGGCCCCCTCCTCCTCCCCCTCCTCCTCCTCCTCCTCCTCCTCCTCCTCCTCCTCCTCAGCCCTCCCTGCCCCCTCGCCTCGCCCCAAGACGTGGGCGGGCGGCAGGGGAGCCTCGAGGGCGAGGTTCTCGTCATGAAGCGGGGGCTCGACATGGAAGGGGTCGGTCGGGGCGCGACCGATGGGGTCGGAGGTCGGCCGAACGGGGAGTACTGCAACAGGGAGGTCGGGATTTTGCTGCATGCCGCTGGTATCGGCCCCGCCGCCAGGCGTTTACCTTTCTAGCATACACGAGCGCCTCCGGAGCTCAGAGGTGAATCAGCGCCACGTGAGCCGATTCGTGAAAACCGCCCCTTTCTACCCTGCCTTTTCGTCCGACTCGATAGGACGCAGGGACCCGTTCGCCTGGCCCGAAAGGAGGAGAAGAAGGGGAACTTGAACGTGTTGTTAGTGTTCTTGGGCCAGTTTGAGTGCCGATTTCGAAAGGAGGAGGAGGAGGAGGCGGACTACAATGCAGACTCAAGAGGCGGTTGGGATCGCTTCGTCTCGACATCCCCTCCCTCCCTCCACCGTTCCGATCGTCGTCCCTCCTGCTGGGTTTACGCAATTAGGAAGCTGCCCGACCAGAGGGGGCGGAGGAAGAGGGGCAGGGAAGCAGCAGAAAGAGGCGAACGCGGAGGCACCGCACCGGAAGAGAGGACGAGAGGGACGGGGAGGGAGGAGGCGGATGAGAAGGACGAGGAGCAGCAGGAGCAGGCCAGAGAGAGGAGAGAAGGAGGGCGAGGGGTACGGCGGGGGGGAGGAGGGAAGGAGAAGGAGAAGGCAGCACGGATGAGAGAGGACGAAGGCAAGGCGGGACGGAGGCAGGAGGGCGGATGCATAAAGGAGGTGGGAGGACGGAAGGGGGAGAAGGGAGGTCGGAGGGAGAAGAGGAAGAGGGGGAGGAGGCAGGAGGAGGGTGAATGTGGAGGTAGAGCATGGAGGAGGGCGAGGAGGTCGAGGAGGAGGAAGATTCACCGAGGGGGGCCAAGCTAGCCAGCGCGGAAGAGCCAGCGGGCCCCGCCCGTTCCCACCCCCACACCCACCCCCCGGCCCCGTCACGTCAGAATCGACGCTCACGAGACCAAATATCCCCACCCTCGCAGAACACGTGATGATCAGGTGGGGATCGGTTGGCCCCCGCGGCCCCCGTGTGGCGAGCGGGAGGCGCTCGCCCCAGGCGCGGTGCCGACGGAGAGCACGCGGCGGGGGGAAAACGTGCGCCGAGCCCTTCCACGCATGCTCGATTGCCGATCTGGAGCATACATCCCGCCCAAGAGCGTAACATTCGGTGAGGTGATCGTCTTCTTGCCCATTGTTTTGCCGATCGGTGCGGGCCCCCAAACCCCCCCCCCCCGTCCCCCCCATCCATGGAGTAGATCTTGGCGGTTTGTGGCGCCTGGTTCGAGCAGGTGGAGTCTCCCCCATAGGACGCACGGTCCCAAACAGTCGCACTAAGCAGAGTTCCGGAGCCAGACCCCCCCTCCCCCTCTTCCGCCCGATGTCGTCGAAACGCCGAATAGAAAAACGTTCACCAGGAAAGCTTGCGAGGCGCTTCGACGCGAGCGGCAGTTCGCTGTCTCGGGCGCGGGCGGGTTGGAAATCGCGGGCGCGCCCAAGCCGGGGTTCTTGAGCGCGGCGCTTGGCCGAGTGCAAGATGTCGGGTTCTCTCGCGCGATATGCGCCGCGTCCCACTCTTGCCACGCAACTTGCAACAGCGACGACACAATGTCAATGATTAAAAAGGAAAGTTGGCTTCATGTTGCTGTTAATGGGCACGGCAGCAGGGCTCCTATGGTACCCCTGGCCTATCAGTCGGCGGAGAGGTAGCGTGTAAGCATATACGAATAAGGAAGAGCACAGGAGGAGGCGCACGGGGAGGAGTAGAATGAAGGCGGGGAATGGAGGAAGGAGGAGGAGGCGGACCAGAGCAAACCCAAGACGCATGAACGATGCTGCAGTACTCCCACCCGTCCAAGTCTCGGCGGCGGGCGAGGGGGGGAAGCGAGAAGGGGCGGGCCTTCTCTCAGAAGGCTCGGAAGTCCCCTGGCCTTCTGAGGAGTGTTCTAAGCCTTCCCCGAAGACACAGAGAGTGTCTCAGAAGGCGCGAGGGCTTCCGGGAAGTCCCGCCGCCTCCCGAAAAGGCCTTCTCCTTCTCATTTCCCCCCTCGCTCGCCGCCGAAAGTCCCCTCCCGACGAGTTCACACAGGCAGTGGCCCTCGCTGCGGGGAGCGCCCCCCCTCTGAAGGAAGCCGCAGTTGAGGCGGGAGCTCCACGTTGAAGGAAGCCGCCCTCCATCCCTCGAGGCACGAAGGGGAGCCGGCACGTGCTTTCAAGATCAACGAGATTCCCTGTCAGTGTTGAGCTGCACTGTCCGTGCCTCGCTCTCCTGGGGCTCTGCTGTGTTCCCGCTCGTTAAAACATGTGTCACATGTGCGGAGCTACACTGTCAATGCCGCGCTCTCTTGTGGCGTTGCTACGTTCCTGCTCGCAGCGCACACCTCCAGAGGCGGCGGAGAGCTTGAGAGATCCATCCACAAAAAGTGTAATATGTGGTATGCGTTTTAACGATCAACGAGGTTCCCCGCGACAGCCCCGCTTTGGAAGGTAACCGCCCTGCACGCGCGTAGCAGGCGCACATGTCTTCAATTGTGGCATTGCAGTTCGAGACAGTAGCAGGCAATAGTTGCTTGTTCAACTAAAAGAGTGGTAGATACTGTTATAACAACAAAGACAACAAAAACAACAACACAAACAAAACAAAATAATAAAGACGTGCCCGCCTCCATCCATGTAGTGGCCGCACCGTTCGGACGTGGCCATCTGATGTGAAGAAGGATCAAGCGAGAGTCCTCCATCCGTGTAGCTTTTGCTTGATGGGGAAGAGAAAAAAAGATATTAAAAAACGTGCCAGTCTCAAGCTTATAAGAAGAAGGTGGGCGGCCCCGCGACGGCATCCTCATTTTGGAAGCAATTGGCCCTCCATCCGCGTAATTGTTGAAAATGTTAGACGGGTGCGCGCGGCGCTAAGCGCTAAGGCGAGAGCCACATTTCGAAAACAAGCGACAAGCGACAGCCACATGTTGAGAAGTTCCGGGATCGCAAATTGAGCGGAAATCTAAAGCGAAACGTTTGGCCAGGCCGAAGGGCACATCAGAGGGGGCGACAAGAGGAAGAGGCATGGACGATTTGTTCATAAGGAAGTAGGATGGAGGAGGAGGAGGAGGAGGAGGAGGAAGAGAAGGAGGACATGGAGATGGAAAAGGAGGAGGAGGAGGAGGAGGAGGGAGAAGAACATTGAAGGAGGAACAGGACAGGGAGGAAGGAGGGAAATCAGAGGAAGGAGGGAGGAGGAGGCGGAGGGAGCAGTCGGGCGGAGGAGGTGGAGGGACGGTCGAACCTGCCTCCTCCTGGCTCCCTCGTGCTCGTCTTTCCCCTCCTCCCTCCGCTCCTCTCGTGGTCCGTCCTCCTCCCCTCGCCTCCTCGCGAGGAGGAGAGGGAGGAGGAGGTGGAGAATAATGGGGAGGGGGAGAAGGGTCAGGGGGAGGGAGGGAGAGGAGAAGGAGGAGGAGGAGGAGGAGAAGGATGAGGAGGAGGAGCAGGAGGGGGAGGAGGGAGAATGATGATGATGGTGATGATGATGATGATGAGGAGGAGGAGGAGGAGGAGGAGGAGGAGGAGGGGGAGGAGAGAGAGAAGGAGGAGGAGGAGGAGGAGGAGGAGGAGGAGCGCCAGCCCCGAGTCCCAGTCCACCCTGCCAGCGCCAGCGCGCCCGAGGAGGACCCGGTCGAGGACCCGCAGGAGGTGCTGGAGCAGGACCAGGAGGTCATGGTGCGGGTGCTGCAGGCGGGCCGGCCCCAGCACCGCCGGGTGGGAGGCGGCCACCAGTTCAGAGGAGCAGGGATCGGCCACGCGCGGGGGGGGGGACTCGGGGCTGGCGCTCCTCCTTCTCCTTCTCTCTCTCCTCCTCCTCCTCCTCCTCCTCCTCCTCCTCCTCCTCCTCCTCCTGGCCGTGCTGCGTACCTGGTGTGACGGCTGGATGACTTCGGCACGGATCATCTCCCCGCTGGGCCAGCGACCTTGCGCTTTTGGATGCATGCAGCGAATCGACTCCCTCCGTCACTATGCGAGATGCCCACCTATGCACCGTGCTCTCAGGCGGGCTCTGGCACGTTCTTTCCCGCTCGATTGGTTCTCTCGCTGCTCACGGCCGCGTACAACATGTACAACGAGGCCCGCACCATCCGTGAGTGGCCGCTCTCCGCCCAGCAGATTCACGCCTGCGCTCTGGCGGGAGTGAGGGCGATGCGTCTTGCGCACCCCTCTCGTGTGTCGGAGGAGGAGCGTGCCTCGCTCGCTCCCCATTGGCTTCCCCGTGTGCCTCGACCTGCAAGCTCCTCCTCAAGTTCGTCGTCGTCGTCGAGCTCTTCCTCCTCATCATCCTGCAGTGCGACAGTTCCCTCGCTGTCGGCGATGTCAGGACCATCAACGCCCTGCTCTTCGGGTTGTGGGGACGACCCGGACGACCTGGTCATGGTTGACCTCCGCCCCGCCGCGAGGGTGTTTGATGTCAGAACGCCAAGTCCTGTCAGGGGGTGCTCCTCGAGCCCATCTGCTCAGGCATCTGGAGTAAATTGCGAGGTGGTGGCTCAGTCTCGTGTCATTCCTGGTGCTTGTGGCGTCAGATCGCAAAGTCCTGGAGGCGGGTGCTCCTCGAGCCCGTCTTTCCAGGCTCTTCGAGTAAATTGCGGGGAGTCGCCTCACCTGGCGGATGGCGTCAGATCGCTAAGTCCTGGGCGTGGGTGCTCCTCGAGCCCACTGCCTCAGGCTCGAGTAAATTGCGAGCCTATGACCCCTTGCCCCGTGGTTTCGGCAGCTGTGAGACGCTCTCTTCGGGGATACCTGCTGTCGACGACTCCTATTGCCCTGTCCTCTCCGCGCCCGCCCTGTTCTTCGATGACCTTGCCTGGGACTTCTTCACGCTCCCCGCGTACCCTGCTGGCCATCCCGTCGACGCCGATTACCTCGTGTGCTTCTCGAATGGCGGCGCCTCCCTCTTGTGTTGCCACGGGTCGTGCATCTTCGGCGACCCCGAGTTCTCTGAGGCTATCTCCTCCCTCCCCGCGTTCCGCGTCGTGGACCCCTTTCCCGCTCTGAGCCCTCGCCTGGAAAAGCCCACTCCATGGCGCCTGCTTTTCTCTCCCCCGTCGATCAGTGCTCCTCTCCTCACGCTCTCAGGCCTGCCCGTCGCAGTATCTGTTCGACCGCCCCCCTCTCTTCCTCTGCTCCCCCCTGGCCTGGTCCCCCCACGCACCTGTTCATTTCTTTGTGTCTCCTCCTCCCTCTCTCGGTCTTTCGCTCCGTCTGAGAGCTGCTGCTGCCGATGCCTGTTCCCCTCCCGCTTCCCCTTCCCGTCGTGCGGCTCCGTCGCCGCCGCGCCCTCGGCCCTCTGGCCGCGGCGCCCGTCCTGCCGCGTCCCGCGTGGGCGCCGTGAACACGGTGTTCGGGTCAGGCGCGCCCCGCGCCCCCGTGCCCGCTGCCTCCGCCCTGCTGCCCGCTGTGGCAGGTGGGCTGGCGCAGGTGGGATGAAGCCTCTTCGGTACGCTCGTCTCCTCCTCCTCCTCCTCCTCCTCCTCCTCCTCCTCGTCCTCCTCCTCCTCCTCCTCCTCCTCCTCCTCCTTCTCCTCCTCCTCCTCCTCCTCCTCTCAGCCATTCATTCATTCATTCATTCATTCATCCATTCATTCATTCATTCATTCATTCATTCATGGGCCTTAGGAGGTCAGCCAAACGAAGCTCGCCTGACCTCACCGCAAAACAGACGAGCGGGGCCTCGGACTCTCCTGGGCCAAGGCCCTGCACCCACGATGCCCAGAGCCCTGGGGCATTGCAGAGGGCTCTTGAAGGCTCGAGGGGTAATCCGCTGGCCGCATCCCCGAAGGGCGCCCCACCCCCGCCCAGCGATCCCCCAGGGGCCCAGCAGAGAAGGGCGACGGGAGGGGTGCGGGCGGGGGGGGCACGGCCAAAGCTGAAATGCACGAAGAGGCACCAGGTCTCCTCCACAACAAAATCAACCCCCCAAAAAAAACCTTCGACCACCCACACAAGGACGACGCGGCCTGCCACCCCAGGTGCAGGCAGCGCCTGGACGGTGGCAGGCCACGCCCCAGATGTGGGGTAAGCACACGGATGCCTGCCCTGAGGGTCAGTCGCATCGGGCCGTGCGCGATAGGCAGAAACAACCCACGATGCCCAGAGCCCTGGGGCATTGCAGAGGGCTCTTGAGGGCTCGAGGGGTAATCCGCTGGCCGTATCCCCGAAGGGCGCTCCACCCCCGCCCAGCGATCCCCCAGGGGCCCAAACAGAGACGGGCGACGGGAGGGGTGCGGGCGGGGGGGGGCACGGCCAAAGCTGAACTGCACGAAGAGGCTCGAGGCCTCCTCCTCCACAAATCCAAGACAATGCCTTCGACCACCCACACAAGGACGACGCGACCTGCCACCCCAGGTGCAGGCAGCGCAGAGACGAGGGCCGTTGGGTACCCCAGAAATCTTGGAACGTATTTTGAGGCGATCGCATCATGAAAGAAACGGGTCCTGAGGGGTGCAGTCAACCGTGGCGCGTTCGAACGACAAAGCACAGTACGCTGCATCTCTCGGCTCCGCCTCCGGTCCCATCGTCGACGGTGCTCGCTCGATGCTGCACCGTGAACAAGCTGGCCCGAAGAGCCCCCAACAGGGGGTGCAACGCGCAGCCCCTTTCCTTTCTGGTGGAGACGTCGGTCCAGGACAAGAGCAGACACAGGTCCTGAGGTGTTCCGCCATTCTTCTTGGCATCGCTCGGGCGTGTGCATGTCTCCTTCGGCGAGGACCATCGAGGAGCATCCTGGATCCTTTGGCGAAACAGCCACGCCCCAAACCGAACAGAAGCACAGGGAATGGGCGTCCGAGCGATGGCCAGGCCTGGGCTCCCGGGGCCCTCCGCGGGCCCCCAGGACTGTCGGAGAAAGCAATGAAAAGCTCGTCGGGGGGGGGGGGCCCAGGTCCGGGGCGCGTGCCCCTCGGGGCACGCCTGCGTGCCATGACGAGGGCGATCGTGGCCCCAAAGGTCGGGTCGGCGACGGAGTGGGATGCAGTCGGGGCGTTGAAGAAGGAACCCTTGTCGTTGGGGAGGGGCTCGATGTTCCTCAGCGGTTCCACACCTTGCCTGAGGTTTCCCTCAAGTTTTCGATGGGGAGGTCGAAGTTTCACTTATGAAAAAGGGGGGATCGTTCCTTATTGAGGGTTCCTTCGGTCAACGCCTCGACTGTAACCTCAGGAGGTAAATGTCGACCCCCAAGAAATGAAAAGGAAGACGAAGAAGGGTTCGCAGGAGAAGCCGAGAACGAGAAGAGCAACAACAAACATCATTGGCTTTCGGCCCATCCCACCGTGCCTGGGTTGTGGGTATGAAGCCTATTGTATGTTCGTTGGGGCCTCGCGGGAAGCCTCTCGGGGCCCTCTTGGAGTCAGTTTTGAGACTGCTTGGGGGCCGCGATTGGGGGCCTCTTTTGGGCCTCTTGGGGGGTCTTGAGGGGCTTCCCGGGCGCCTCTGGGGGCCTCCTGGGGGCCTCTTGGGGCGGACGGTCGGTTCGTGTTCCGTCTCTTGGGCTCCTTTTTGGGGCCGTCTTGGAGCCCTCTTGGGCCGTCTTGGGCGCCTCGTGGGCCGCCTCGGGGCCCTCTTGGGTCGTTTTGGAGCCCTCTTGGAGGCCTCGTGGGCCGTCTTGGGGCGATCTTGGGGGGTCTCTTCGGCCGTCCTGGAGCGTCGGGAAGCCGAAAAGGCGAGAAAGCCAAAAACCTTCAAAAGCGCATCATGGGGCCCTCCTGGGAAGCCTCTTGGGCCGTCTTGGGCGCCTCGTGGGCCGCCTCGGGGCCCTCTTGGGCCGTTTTGGAGCCCTCTTGGAGGCCTCGTGGGCCGTCTTGGGGCGATCTTGGGGGTCTCTTCGGCCGTCCTGGAGCGTCGGGAAGCCGAAAAGGCGAGAAAACCAAAAACCTTCAAAAGCGCATCATGGGGCCCTCCTGGGAGGCCTCTTGGGCCGTCTTGGGCGCCTCGTGGGCCGCCTCGGGGCCCTCTTGGGTCGTTTTGGAGCCCTCTTGGAGGCCTCGTGGGCCGTCTTGGGGCGATCTTGGGGGTCTCTTCGGCCGTCCTGGAGCGTCGGGAAGCCGAACAGGTGAGAAAGCCAAAAACCTTCAAAAGCGCATCCTGGGGCCCTCCTGGGAGGCCTCGTGGGGCGTCTTGAAGGCCTCTTGGGGCGTCTGGGGGCCACTTTGAGCGTTTGGGAGCGATCGTTCGGCGACTCGGAGCCCACTTGGACCGTCGTCGGGGCCTCTTGGCCCGTCTTGGGGCCCTCTTGGGCTCCATAAGGTACGCGAGGAGACGCGGGGCAGCCCAGGGGAACCGCGCCAAGCCCCGCCAAAGTTCGGGATCTGGGGTCCGGGTCCCTCAGAAAGACTCCCCAGGACTGAGGACTGAGGCTCCAGGGATTAGGCAAAGGACTTGGGGGCACGCCCGCTCCGTGCCCAGAGGCACGGTGGCGGACAAGAGGAGCGATAAGGAATGACGCTGTCTGAATGTGATTAGCAGTCAGCCGACTGGATGAAACACCAGGCCCCCGCAGGCCCCGCGAACCTTCAGGGAGCCCTCGGGGTCCCCAGCGGCAGGCCCAGTGGCGTGGGAAGCCTGCCTTCCTCTCCGACTTCTCACTGCGACTGCCCTTGACGATCCATTTGCCCATCCGCAGAGCCTTGGAGGACCTGCACACCGTGCCTCCTGAGACCCGCTGCCTTGCCTTCGCTTCACTCCCCCCCAGCACCCCGTCGAGGCACCCCAGGCAGCAGCCAAGGACGGGATGGCGAACGACTCCATGAAGTTGCAGCGGTGGCCCCGCCATGGGGGGCCTTCGGAGGAGGCCGACGGAGGCGACGCATCGCCCTTGCCATCTCGCGCCATGCAACCTCCCGCTCGTGGCGCTCGTCCCCCGACTTTGCCTCGTCAACAGTGGTAGCTGCTGGCTTTCTCTCCCGGCCAGCGTCGACGCTCTTCGCCATGCTCGTGGCGGAGGTATCCTTGCGCGTGTCCTTGGATTCTGCCTCCACCTCTAACATCGGTGCTGGTCCACGCCGCCCTCCAGACCTTCGGACTCGGCACTTTGCACTGCCTCCGCCTCTGCCTTGCAGGACGGGTGCCGCCTCGGCGCGAAATGTTCGCTGAGTCCCAGCCACTCGAGGCCGATGGCCTCGCGCGCATGCCGCATGGCTCGGCTGGTTCCCCGCGCCTTCGCTCCAGTTTGAGGCTCGCCTGGCTGTAACCGAAGGTGATGCTCTCCACCTCGAAATCCAGGATGGTGCCCTCTAACTTCAGGAAGTGGTTCACCAGGATGTGGTTCTCCACCCCGGCGCCCCAGATGCTGCTCTTCGACTCCAAGACGAGGCTCCCAGTTTGAGGATCTCAAGGCTGCTGCTTAGGGTGCAGCTTTCTTTGCCGGGGCCCAGGATGGTGCTCACCAAGCCGAGGCTGTCCAGGATGAGAGTCTCCGGCTCCAGGCCGTGACCCTCTAGGACGTGGTGCATGATGGGGCTCGCCAAGCTGCCACCCAGGGTGATGCTCCCCACCACGATGCCCCAGGACGCTGCTCTCCGACTCCAGATCGCGGCTCTCTAAGACAGGGCTCGCCACCGTCAAGTCCAGGACTAGGACTGTGCTTTCCAGCTTCGCTTCCTCTGGGCCCCTTGCGGAGCACTGCAGGCTGGGGCTGTCCACGAGCGAACTCTCCAGCTCCAGGACGTGGCTCACCAAGCTGAGGCCCTCCACCTCGGGGCCCAGGGTGCTGCCCGTCATCTCCAGGATGTGGCACTCCAAGCGGTCGCTGGTGAGGCTCTCCAGGTTGAGGTCCAGGCTGCAGCTCTCCAACTCCAGGATCGGCAGATCAATCGACGTGTGGCTGCCACCGCAAGCATTTCCTCCGCGCAGATCTGTATCTACGGCCATCCCCACCACGGCTCGTCAGTGATCCGCTCGGCCTCTGGCGGCTCGGTGTGGTCTGTCGAGATGCAGGACAGGAAGGGCTTGGCGTCTGCGCGGAGGGTGCACTCGTGGGCCTTCTTGGCCTCGGTCAGCTGGGCCACCAACTGCGCATTATTTTGCCTCCCTTGCCTGAGCTCGTCTGTGAGCCTGCGAATGGCACTGCCGGCGCACAGCTTCGCCCAGCTCCTCCGTCCGATCCTGTCGGCGGTCGCGCCGATTTGGTGCGCTCTTCCCGCACCATCCCGCATCGCGCGCGCCAGTGCGGGGACGAGCCGCGCGCTGGGCGCCAGCTTCCTTGAGCCAATACACCTAAGCGAGAATGAATCAAAACATGAGAGCGACGATAACGAAAATAAGAGCATTGCAAGATATATCTTAGAAACTTAGATTATCTCTCTCTCTCTCTCGTTCATTCCGCCTGCACGCGAAACCTGAGGGGCCAAGGTGCATGGCGCGAAGCGCCATTGCAGTCTTGTGTCTTGTCTTGTGTGTGTGCTTGGCGATACGTATACTACATGTATGTTATATATATATATATATATACACATGCAGAGAGGGAGAGGGAAGGAGAGAACCAACGGATAGAGAGAGAGAGAGGGGGACGGACGGAGGAAGGGAGGGATGGAGTGAGGGAACTATGCAGGGCGAGAATACGAGGGGAGAAGGGCGGGGTGCGCCGACCCCCCACTCTGCGCAGCTGACCGACGGCAAGATGAGCCTCAGCATGGTGCCCTCCGAGGCGTCTGGACCGGCATGGGCCTCAGCGGCGTCCAAGGGCGGGGGGGCATGGAGGAGGAGGAGGAGGAGGAGGAGGAGGAGGACAAGGAGGAGGAGGAGGAGTAGGAAGGATGACGGTGACGATGTTGTTGTTGCTGCTGCTGATGATGCCGCATATGGATGATAAAGGTTGATTGTGGTGATGGTGGCGATGATGACAATGAAGGAAAATCGTGATGATCATGATCATGTTCATGATCACAGTGATGATCGATGGTGAGCATGGTGACGATGATGGTGGTGACATTGCTGATGGTGATGATGATGACGAAAATGCTATGATGATGATGATGACGATGAGGATGATGACGGTGATAGTGATGGTGATGGTGATGGTGATGGTGGTTACTGTGATTGTGATGGTTTTGGTAATTGTGATGCGGATGAGGATGATGCCGATGACGATGGCGATGGCGATAACGATGACGCTGACGATAACAATGACGACAATGACGACAATGACGACAATGACGACAATGATGATGATGATGATGATGATGATGATGATGATGGTGGTGATGGTGATGGTGATGGTGATGGTGATGGTGATGGTGATGGTGATGATGGTGGTGATAAAGGTGATGGTGATAAAGAGGATGGTGATCAAGAGGATGGTGATCCTGATGGTGATGACAATGATGATGGTAGTGATTGTGATGAGGATGAGGATGATAATGAGGATGAGGATTCTGATGAGGGTGAGGAGAAGGATGAGGATGAGGAGGATGATAATGATGATGATGATGATGATGATGATGATGATGCTGATGCTGATGACCATGATGATGACGACAACGATGATGATTATGGTGTTGACGATGATGATAATGGCGATGATGATGGTTATGACGATTATGATGATGATGATGATGATGACGATGATGCTGATGATGATGAAGATGATGGTGGTGATGACGATGATGACGGTAAAAATGAGGATGGTGGTGGTGATGACGATGTGATGGTGATGGCGATGGCCATGGCCATGGCCATGGCCATGGCCATGGCGATGGCGATGGCGATGGCGATGGTATGGTGGTGATGGGGATGGTGATGATGATCATGATGACGATGGCGGTGGAGGAGGAGGAGGAGGAGGAGGAGGAGGAGAAGGAGGGAGGAAGAGTTTCGAAGCGTGCGACGTTCGTTTCAGACCTCTCGCCAGCCCTCGTCCGCCGCCGTCGCGGGCACCAGGTTGTTGCGGGGCCACCCGCGCCAGCTGGCCATGCCTCGAGCGCTTGCCTGTCTGCAGGCAGCCGACATCCGAGGGGCCGGGCGCCGACAGCACGGCAGGCAACCGCTCCAGCCTGGAAGTGCGGAGCGGGGTGACCGCCCGGTGCTCCGAGCCGGCCCAGCGCCCGGAGGCCACCACGGAGGAGTTGCCTTCCGACGCAGGGGGGCGCCGGCAGCGCCGCGGCGGCTGGGCGGCCCCTGGCGGCATGGTCGGAGGGGCTCGCTGTATGCGCAATGCGTATGCTGCCAGTCGCTCGGCGAGGGCATCCGGCGCACACTTGTTACCTTCGGTATCGTTCAACCACTCCCCATCCCCATCCCAATCCCCATCCCCTTCGAGACCCCCACCAGATTACCCCCCCAAGTTGGGGATGCCCCCCTCGAAGCCCGAAGGGAACGGCCTATATCCCCTATCTAGGGGGGTAAATCGGCCAGTGGGGCCCAGGCCACGCCGCTGGGTCCCACGTGGTTTCCAGATTGCTTCAGGACGGCCTAAAATGGCTTCAAGGCGGCCTAAGAGGCCCCCAAGACGAAGACGGCTACAAGAGAACCCCATTCGAGGGCCCCGATCAGCAGAAATCGTCCCGTTCCTTTCTTAGGGAAAACGCCTATGATTGGCATCGTCATTTTTGTCGCCACACCAGCGTCCCGTGCGGGTCCAAGAGGCCTCCAAGAGCGCTTCAAGGCCGCCGAAGAGGACCCCCAGGGGGCCCCAAGAAACCCACGATGGCCCCAAGACGGCCCAAGAGGGCCCCAAGAGACCCAAATGAGGCCCCCCAAGCGCCCCCCGAGCGGCCCTCCGATCGCCTTCGGCACCAAGGTGGCCCCAGAGCATCCCAGCGGTCTCCAGGAGGTCCGCAAAGAAGATCCCAAGAAGCCCCCAAGAGGCCCCCCCAGTATACGCCCAAGTGGCCGTCATCAGTCCCCCGAGACGACCCTGTAGACATTGCAAGGTACTTCTTGCACGCCTCAGATCGAAGACGCCTCCATTCCAGAAAATTTACAAACACTAAGTATACGAACGCTCTCCCCATCACTCCTCCTCATCATCTTTCTCCTCCCTCCTCCTGCCTCCTCCACCCTCCCCCACCCCTCGCTCACCTCCCCTGCCTCCACCTCCCTTGTCCCACCCGCCTTCCTCTATTTCTCTCTCTCTCTCTCTCTCTTCTCTCCTCCATGTCCTGCGGCCTTCTCCTCCCTCCACCCTCCTCCGTCTCTCTCCGCCCGTTCTCGCTCCCCCATCCCTCGTTGCTCCTTTCTCCTCCTCCCCACTCCCCACTCCTCCTCATCCCCCGCCTCCCTCCGAGCTCCCCCAGGAGACTCCCGGACCTGTGCAGAAGTTCCAAGAGGGTCCCACGACGGTCCCAGGAGGCCCACCGGTTGCCCCAAGAAGTTTCCAGCAGCACAATGAGGCCCCAAGAAGCCGCGCAGAGTGCCCACACAGGGCTTCCAAGATGGCCGAATCAGCCAAAACCAAACGGAAGCCCAACGTGTTTTGTTGTCTTTTCTGGAACGTCCATGTGGTTCGAACGTGTGGCTCCAAGATGGCTTGGTGGCCGAAATGGTCCCGAAGAGAGTTGGACAGTTGCCCAGGGATGGCCCAGGACTGCCGCGAATCCCAAGAGCCTCACTGCGACGTCAGACGCCACCGCGTGGGCTTCCAAGCCGAGGACCCGATCATCCCGGCGCAGCCTCTCTGACGCGTTGTACGCTTAGCCCCGTGGCAAGTCGAACTCGAGCGCGCGCGAAGCTCGCGCATGGTCCTGGTGTGATGATGCGTTTGTCAGGAGGGAAAGAAACACACAGACACAATTAATCGTCGACTCCCAGGAAAATATGCAAAAATATGGGAAGTGGTGGGGAAGACAAAAACCCAGAAAATATGGGAAAATATGGGGGATATCTTTATTTGTGTGTATTTATTTGTGTGTTCCAGTTCCCCTTCAGTTTGGGTGCGCAGCGCTGAAGTTCACGCATGACGACGCGCACGAGGGTCGCAGCTTTCTCCAGACATCTCTTCGAAGGACAGGGAGGGGGGGAAGAGGGTCGAGGACGGGAGGGACGAATAACCTAAGGACGGAGGTCGGGGGGCGTGAGGAGGAGGCGGAGGGAATCGGAGGAGGCGCGAAAAGTATGCGTCGGGAAATCACATGACAACTCCGCTTCCTCAAAGGGCGCGTGCTGGCAGAATTGGCCTCTGTCGCGTTAATCGCGTTGACCGCTACTTCCTCGGTGGAAGGTGGAACGCTCGAAGGAACAACATGTCCGTTACCGGCAGTACCCAAGGGTGTCACAACAGCAGCCACGTTGGATGCGGGTGGGCCAAGTATGGAGGAAGGGGATGGTTGAGAACGGGGGGATAGAAGGAGAACGAAGGAGACGAAGGATGGCAAGCTGGACGTATCTGATTACCCCGTTCAGGAGTTTGTTATCGAAGGCCGTCATAGCGTTTGAGTTTACATCGTTTTCGAAGGTTGTCCCAGGTTTCTGATTCCCTTCTCTTCAGCAGCGGCAAGAGCCTCATCCTCGTGGTAGCTGGAAGGTGAGCCTGGGAATATCTTATGTTATCTGGGCCGTGGCTCTGAAAGTACCGCTCTGTTCATGCGAGGTGCCTGCACCAGCACCAGCCTGAACGCGGGGGCGCACCTGATTGCCGCAAGCAGTCTAGGGTAGTGTCGGTCGCGGCCTACCTGAGGGAGCGCTTGCTCGCAATAGTCGTATCCGAACCTCAGCACCAGCCTCCTCCATCTCATGTTGTTTTATCATCGTGAGGGCGTCTAGAGAGCCAGCCGTCCGATGTCGGGCAGGTGCAAATTTGATATCAACGATTTGCATTGGACAGAAAGACGATGTGTTGCTGTGCATTGTTTTAGGGGGTAGTTTGTCTCGCTCAGTTCCAGCATCAGAGTTGCCCATATGCTGGATACTTCCGCCTTGTACCCCATCCGCGAGCACCATGGGGAGCATCTCGTGTACTCAATTGTTTCTCTCGCCCACGTCTCCTTCCGATCTCCCCTCGCCTGGCAACGCAGCCTTCGACAACGCGGCCTCCTGTTTAATGTGAGGGTCGCACGTTCTGTCGTGCTGCAGTTTTCGGAATGCGCGAGCATTCTCAATTGGGCACTTTTCTGTTCGGCCTGACATATTATGTCGCCCGCCCATACCTCGCTTAACTGTCTTCGACGCTGCTGGACCCATAGCCCGTTCTCGATACGGTACAGCGTGGTGGAAGATGAGCGAGAAGGTGTGTGTTCGAGGGTTGCGAAAGTGCTTCTTGGCTCAGTCTGTTCTTCCATGTGGTCGTCCTAAGACGTTGACTTGGTATTGATTGCCATAGCGCCTCATGCCCATGCACACGAATAGCCCTTAAACCCAATGCTCTTAACCCCTCGCTGCCCCAAACCCAATGCGTTGACCCCGATCGGCCCTAGACCCTGAAGGCATCTACCGCAATGACCATGAAAAGCAGTACGCCACCACACCATAATGAATTCAAACCATGATTGCAACATGGCTCACACTAAGCCCCACTGGCCTCAAACTCACCGGTTGTCGCCCATAACGACACAAAGCCCACATTACCCGGAAGCTTAAGTGTAGGGGGAAGTCAGGGACCTAAGGGTTATAATCCGTGATGTTCGATCCGAATGTTTCTTAACCCGAAATAGAAGTAATTAAATGGTATCAAATCCAAGGACCAAAACCCCTTATAGCATCCTGAACACGCATAGCCCTAGGCCTTATGATTATTGCATCTTCAACGACCTTGAATCTGAAATGCCTCAAGCCTAGTGTTCCTGAACCCGAATGGCTGTAAATCAAGGGCAGAAAAAAACGCCACTACCCTGGTTTACGAGGCGCTGTCCGCTGAAACTCCTGTGGGCTGACAGGGTAAACCCTGCGTGATGTGCCGCGTCCTGGCGGCTCCAGGCTTTGGGGGTTCCCAGGAGGTTTACAGACCACGCACTTGTAACCCAGGGTAGGGTCGTTCTTCCTTCCCTCAAGTAAACCATAATGGTCCTAAGCCCGATTCATTCGGTTGGGGTCTTTTTGGCTCAGGTTCTTCAGGGCGTACGACCGCGAAGGTGTTACCGCATTATGGTCTTATGCTACTTGGATCCAGGGTCGTCGTTTGCGTTAGGTGTCATGCCAGCTAACGCTCATTTCGGGCATAAGGCCATCCTACGGAGCGTGTCATTGCGATTGAGGGTAAATCTGGGTCGGGGCCTTTCTAGGCTAGGGTCATTCAGGCTTGGTTGCATCGAGGTTGGATCCCCGTGGTGTTATGGCCATTGGTCGTGTAGGGTCGAGTCGCAGGGAATGTCAGCACGGGTAGTGGATGCTTTTCCCCTCTGCGTGTTCTTACGTGGCAGAACTTGTTCGAAGCGGCGCCATAGGCATTACTCGCGAGAATGTAGGTGGGCCTCAGTGTTGTATTGCCCATGCTGTCTGATGTCGTCCCATCACTGCCTTTGTCCGTATGGCTTCACTGTCGGAGGCCCGTTGTTGGGCGTGTTGCAAACGGGCACGTCAGACGGACACACACACACACATGCATGGACGCGTCTTACCGGGATCGAGAATATGGTGCTATGTCGGGTACGGTTGGGGCGTGTTTGAACGGCCTTGGCAAGTGGTGCGTGCAATAGTCGAGAAGCAAGTGTGGGATGTGGCTGTTCACGCAGTTCTTCTTCCCCCTCCTCCCAGACTCGCACTCGTTGCCCTTCGCACGATGCCGAGGGGCCGCGCCGGCTCAACCGAGCTCGCGGCGTCAGGCCTCGCAGCTTGGCACGGCCGCCAAAAAATGTCCCTCCTCCCCCCGAAGAACTTGGCATCGCTCGGACGTGTGCATTTTTCCGTCGGCGAGGACCATCGAGGAGCATCCTTGATCATGTGTCGAAAACCCACGCACGAAACCTAAAAAAAAAAAACAGGGAATGGACGTCCGAGCGATGCCCAGAGGACGCTTCGTGTGTCGGCGTGTCATTGGCGCTCCTCTGTCAAAACCGCGCGGGTATGGGAGTGGTCTTCGGGCGGGGTGGCCGCCGCTGCAGCTTCCGACGTCGCGTTACCGTTGCCGTTGCAGTTGTCGTGATGGTGAGGACGATGATGATCGCGATGGTGGTGATGGCCTACTGAAGCGTAGGGTACATGCTCGCGGGCCTGAGATTCCAGAAGCTACAGACAGCAGGCCACTGAGCGTTAAGCCTCACCTTGACTCCTAACAGGGTAAATCAGGGGCCTTCGTGCCTCAGGGCTCCTCGTGCCTCAGGGTACAGTTCGAAGCAACCTCTGAACGTTCATCCCAGTGATGGGGAGAGCGACGGACATGGCGATGGTGATGGCGATGATGACGACGGCAAATCAGAGGCCTCAGTGTGTCAGGGCTTCTGCTCAGTGACGGGATAGCGACGGTCATGGCGATGGTGATGGTGATGATGATGACGGGAAGGTGGTGACGACGATGTGATGATGTTGATGATGGCGCGATCAGGCAGCATTGTGCCGAGCATCAGTCGCGCGCCTCCGACAGGGCCCAGGCATTTCCAAAGGGAAGCGAAATTGGCCAGCAGACGGCAAGCACTGTCAAGCGATGGGGCCAGCAAGGAACACCGGGTTGCCATGGGGCACTGGGCCGCGCACCCCGAGAGATCGCCAAGAGACGCGGATTCCCACCCCCCACCCCCATGGCGCGCCAGCGTGGCAGACTCCAGGCCACGACGCTGTCCTGGCGCTCGGACAGCCCACCCTGCCACTCCTCGGGGAGGAGCCCAGGGGCAGCGCTACTCCACGCACTCATTCGAGGCGCCAACTGTGCAAACGCCCCAGCTCCCCGCACGGTCCCCAGTGGCCCAGGGTATCACCTCACGCCGTTCTCGTCTTCGGCGATCCGCGCCGCCACCTCGCGCGGCGATCCGCCGAAGCCCTCCGCGGCAGCCCGGCATCCGTCGGCGACGCGCCCGCCGCGCTCCACCACCACATTGGAAGCCGCCCAATGCATGTCGTTGCTCTCTCCTGGCCTCTTGTGCCGCAGCTTCGGGGAGCGCGCCTACGTCCGACCCAAACCCCGCGCGCCACGCTCGCCTTGCGATGTGGCCAGAGGTGCCCCCGGCCCAAGGTGTCCCCATGGTTTCCAAGCAGGCCCCCACGGCCTCCAGAGCACCCCTCGCGAGGCCCAGAGGACCCCAGGGGCTCCAAAAGGAAGCGAATGAGCTGGGGAGGCGCCTTGGGCCTGGGAGGCCTCCCTCGCTCGACAGCCCGCGCCGCCGTGCCAGCGCCGGCAGGCGTTGCGAAAAAGAGCTGCGGAAGATGATTCGGTACTTCCCGCGTTCCTCTGCCCCCTTTTTTGCCCGACCCGAGTCAAAGCATGGCCTCTTCCCCGCGTTCGTCAGACGCCGTGCAAGCCTCCGCCACCACTGCCTCCACGGACGATGGTCAGCACTTCGGCGAGGGCCCACGGACAGACCTGGCGAGAGCAAGCCCACGCACTCGCAAGTGAAAAACGGCCACGACCATGATGATGACGATGACCGCACTTCCTTGGAAGCTTGAGCAATCATCATGTGCCGCCTACTGCCAGGGATTCATCGCACGATGCTGGTCATGACGATGAGACAGCGAACGACGATGATGAGGAGGATACTGGATGATGCGTATAATGAGGATGATGATGTTGGTGATAATGATGATGTTGAGTACGATGATGTTGGTAATGATGGTGGTGCTGATGTTGGTGGTGCTCATGATCGTGATGTGAGTGATGATGGTGGTACTAAGACTAATCATGCGAATAGTGATAATGATGGTGGTGAACATAGTGGTGATGGTGATGATGGTGATGGTGATGATGATGATGATGCTGTTGATGATGATGAGGATGTTGATGCTGTTGATGATGATGCTGATGATGCTGATGCTGATAATGACGATGATGGTGGTGGTGGTGATGTGGTGATGGTGATAGTAATGGTAATGATGATGATGATGATGATGATGCTGATGATGGTGGTGGTGATGGTGATGGTGATGGTGCTGGCGGTGGCGATCGTGATGGTGTTGGTGATGGTGATGGTGATGGTGACGGTGGTGATGGTGATGATGATGTTGTCGATGATGATGATGATGATGATGATGATGATGATGATGATGATGATGATGATGATGATGATGATGATGGTGGTGGTGGTGGTGGTGGTGGTGCTAGTGATAATGATGATGATAGTGGTGGTGATGGTGATGGCATCGATAATGGTAACGATGGTTGGGAATGATGGTGATGGTGATGGTGAGAATGATAATAGAGATGACGATGACGATGACGAGGGCGATGATGATGATGATGATGATGTTGTGGTTGGCAGACCCAGTTTCTTCAGACTTGCTTTCAACGTGGGTCGCGTTGAGGTACGAGCTTAACCGTTGACGAGGAGGAAGAGACGGAGACGGAGGAGGAGGAGGAGGAGGAGGAGGAGGACGACGACGACGACAAAGAAGGGAGGAGGACGACGGGAGGGATTTGGCCTTTGGATCGCCCCCTTGCGGCATCGACGGCATCGAGTGACGGAGGAGGATGAGGAGGAGTGCATCGGGAAGGGGCGGGGCAGAGGTGACGATGTCTGAAGACAGCGCGTGCTGGCATCTACCATTCTTCTCTCTCCACGCCCCCTTCCTCGCCTCTGTTGCTCCCCCGCTCTTCTCGCCTCATGTCTTCCCTCCCCCCCATCCCCCCCGCCCGCTCCCCATCACTCCCTTGCTCCGCCCCTCCGCCCCTTCCCTCGTCCCCCCCTCTCTCTCTCTCCCTGCGTGCCCTGCGTGACCCGTCGGCCCTCCGCAGCGGCCGCCGCGAGCCCTGCGTGCAGGGCTTGGTGGCCTGGCGTGGGCCTCGGCAGGGCACGATCGGGCTGGGCCAAGCCCTGAACCCTAAGTCGGGCGTGTCCCTCTACAGGAGGAGCATTCAAAAATAATCAAAAGAATAGTCAGGGGACGATTGTTTGAGCATTGTCTGGTTACGTTTGAGCATTTTGTGAGTGTATACCTTATTTTTCGCCCAAAATCCCCCTGTAGGGAGACATGCCCGACCTGACCTTAGCCCTCTCTGCTGATTTCCCTTGTGCGCCACCGGGGCCCTCCGTCTGGCCGCCAGACGGAGGGCCCAGGTGGCGCGTCCACCAAATGTCGCTTGCCCCGCTACAGACTGTCCCCCATGGCACGCTGCCGCCTCGCACTGCTTTGCCCATCTCGCCTCACCTCCTCCTCCAATGTGCGCAGCCCTCCTTGTCCGAGTGTGCGTAAGACGATGGAGTCACTTGTTGAGTGCCAGTTCTGCTATGACGCGCGTCGTCGGCGGGTAGAGAAGAACATAGCGCACTGGGAAGGGATGGGCTGGAGGGTTCGGATGTCAGACATGGGCGAGCCCACCTGTTGACACATTTCTCAATATGAATACTGTTGTCTCCTCTCTCTCTCTCTCTCCCGAAGATGGCCAGGGAGTGACCCGCCCCTCTCCGCGTATTGTTTTTCAGCCAGAGAGGTTCAACTTGTTGTCTTTCCTGTTTCTTGTTTTCAGTCGGAATGCCTTCGGTGTCCCAAACGGGTGTTCCCAATGCAACGCTGGCCTCATTTAAGGATCGGCGCGCTGCTCCCCCCTCGTTCAGACGGGCCACTCTACAGGATGCGAGTGCTTCCTCATCGTTGTCGTCCCGCTCCTTTCCCCTCCACCGCCTTGCCCTGGGCATCCTGCCCCTCCCGCTTCTCCCACCTCTGTTGCTGCTACTGCTCCTCCCAGTCGTCGTCCTTCCTCATCCCCTTCCTCCAGTATACCCAGCTCCCCGCTTCTGCTTGCGCATGAGACACTGGGGTCGTTTGGGGGTTCCAAATCCGCTATGACCCGTCGGCGGACACAGAAAATGATCAGCACACTTTGGGAAGGGGTGGGTGCGAAGGGTCGGATGTCAGATATGGCGCCCCGGTCCAGGCCTCGAACCCAGGGCCGACTTCCCTCACCGAAGGGCCCCATCTTTAGGGGACCACATGCGAACCCTACCCCTACCCCCCTCAGAAATCGTTGGGGGTAAGGGTAGGCCTCTGTCGTCGTAATGGTAGTCGTCGCCGTCCGTGTCCGCCTCCGCCTCCGCCTACTCCTGCTCCGCCTCGTCCTCCTTTTCCTCCGCCTCCTCCTTTCTACCGCGGCCTCAACCCCTCACAACGATCATGATCATAGGAAGGTAAAGGGAAAACGAGCGAAGCAAAGCTCAGCTGGAGGGCTTTCCGCGCCTTACCGCGCCTGACTCGCCCACTCCGCCGCCCCCGCAACTGGGGGCCAGGCCTTGCCGATGTGGTGGCCCTTCGGCCACTGAATCTCCTCCTCCTCCTCCTCCTCCTCCTCCTCCTCCTCCTCCTCCTCCTCCTCCTACTCCTACTCCTACTCCTACTCCTACTCCGCCTCCTCCTCCTCCTCCTCCGCCTCCTCCTTCTCCGCCTCCGCCTCCGCCTCCTCCTCCTCCTCCTCCTCCCCAGGGGTTCTCCAGAAGTCTCTGGGGCAACTCAGAGGTCCCCTGAGGTCCCTGGAGGCCTCTTAGGACGTCTTGCGGGCCACGCCGGGCTGAATCATCCAGACTGCGATCGGCATGATCTTCGAAGCTCGACGCCGCCTTGCCGTCGCCGTCGCCGTCGTCGATCCTCGCCGTCGTCGTCGTTGTCGTGGCCGCCGTCGTCGTCGCCGCCGTCCTCGTTCGTCTTCGTCGCCGCCCTCGTCGTCCTCGTCGTCGTGGCTGTCGTGGCGCGCAGGCCATGGGCGTTCCCCCTGCCGGCCCGGAGGCGCCAGTGGGCGGGGGCCACGCCTCGTGGCAGGCTCGC